ACAAATCTCACTCACTTAACAACGAGCACGGCATTGCTGCCGTGATTGTAGGGAGTATTCACTACAGCTAACGCTTCCCTGGGTTCGGACTTGGGAGGAAGAGAAAATTTTTAGTGTTCGGAAAGGAGTTTTCGTTAAGATTTGGGTTAGAAATCTGCCTTTCCGTTTCCCGGAACGGCCCCCAATTGTAATGACCTCGGCTGGTCGTAAGCTCTTAACCCAGGCAGGTTTGGCGACTCAATACCGAGATTGTGCGTTATCCGTAAACGTTAAGTCAAAACTCAGTTCGGGTTCAACGTATTTCAACGTTTTTCGTGATCAAAGAACTGAATTTTTTCCTCCCTGACGCGCCCCTGGCCTCTGCAGGGCATCATGGGGCGCCATCCACTGGGTATGGCCGACTCGCGCCGCACTGTGTCGGCCTCTGTTCCTGTCTGATATCGGCTACGATCCTTGTGTGCCGAGTCTACTATTTAGGTTAGACTCAATTAACTCCCTTTGATAGTTTCCGGCGTACTTAGTTCGTCCTCGCTCCTTACTCCCTATAATTACCTATCGTTATTGATTGCAGCTACTTGTAGTGCTAGCGCACTACAGTCACAACCACAGCGTGAGTCTCGCAGGCAGCCCAAGCTGGCGTGGTTGCTGAGCATTCTTGGTTTGGGTATCTTAACTTTCTATCTAAAGTAATACAACACGTCTCTATAAGGATTGCATTTTTTCTCTTACAGCTAACTAGGTCTCTAAAAGTCCCATTTGAGCTCCATTAAACTGCCTGTGCAATACAACTTTTCTCACCTTTCCGGACAGCCCGGCATCGTTAAATTGTCTTATTCCGAACTCCTTACTTCTCTATTCCTCTTCTACCCTCATCTTTGTCTCGGTTTTGGGTAGTTCCACTGTCCTAGGGTATTGGTGTTCTACAATGCGTAGTACTGCTAGAGCGCTCTTGGAATAGTTATTATCATGCTTAGTACTATTATTATCCTTGCTCCTTTGCTATCTGTCTTTTTTCCCTAACTCTTTCTATTTGTTTCTTTTTTCTTCCTCTTCTTCCTTCTCGTTTCCTTCGTTTTTCTTCCTCCTCTTAGTGGTCCCCCTCCTGTGTGTGTATGCAAACTTTCTATAAATACATCCAAAGGAAAGCATGCAACAAAGGAAGCATGCAATAAAGGAAGCTTCTTTGAAGCTTCCTTATGTGCACATGTGGCGCTGGTTTGTATTACCGGCCACAGCGAGGTGCACTGCAACCCCATTTCCTGCTGCCTCCTCCCCGCAACACCCAGGCCCTGAGCTCAACGCCTAGGACGCCTAAGGACAGGGGAAGGAGGCCAGCTGTTTTTGGGAAGCTCTTGCTTTAAGTCTTTACTTACATTGCAACTCGCCTCTATCCTTGATAAAGGCCAGAGAGCAAGCGTTATAGTGTGCTGATTGTAATGGGCATATTCTCACGAGAGGACCAAAGAAATTAAACCTATGGTGTATTAGCTACTTTACTAAAAGTAGTCGCTGCAGTATTACATATTTTCTACTTACACTTAAATGGTTCTAGTAATCCATTAGGTACAAAAACGGCTCTAAAAATGCCATTATCTCCTCATCTGTATGTGTGGCAGCTGCACCGTTGTGCAACCTGACACCGAGTGTGAGCGTGCGAGTGCACGGGCACTTCCTCCGCCTCCCTTTGGAGAAAGACTGCGAACACTGCTGCAACTTCTCGCCCAATACCCCACCTACCTGCACTGCAGAGGACCTCTAGCTCGCCCCTACAGTTGTGCCCTTTTCCGATATTTCCGCAGTAGTTCGGATAATAGAGCGCCTGCCACGTGGCACCATATCACTTGCTTCTTGCCAATATCCCTCTTCTGACAGTCGCTGCGCCTTACGCTTTGAGCGTCTTCTGTCTAACTAATAAAGCCTCTCGAAGCTCTGTTATCTAGAGAGCCCCACATTGGTGCCCTGCTCCATCTACTCGTGGGACTACTGTAGATCCCACATTAAACAGTTGGCTCGCATTGCTTCAATCCTCACTGGCACAGTTCTCCAGCCACCACTGTGGTACCATATCGTCCTCTTCCTGCCTGTAGCCGTCATCTGCCACCTCTGTTGTCACTTCCCCGTTTCCTTCCTGCCCACGCATCTCCTCGTCGCTTCGTACCGATGTAGACACTGATTCAGACTGCTCTGCAGAGGACTGCTGACACATCTTCGCTTTCCGAGAGCCTGTGTTATCTCGACCTTCCATACTGAGCGACTTCTTTCCCCACTGTGGGGAGACTGGAATGGCATTAGGTCCTGCTACTGCGTACATCACAACTCTTCCATAAATACAGCCTAGCACGTTTGTCGCCAACAACTCCTAGGCTGTCTAGTTTAAACGCCCAGCTCCATCGCTGCCGGAACGTGTTGACTGTCTACTAGACATTTCCCTTGTCTCTATGCTTCCTCGAGCATATGTTGGACAGTCTCTAGCGTAATTATCCATACCTCAACACTTCTTCCATATTTCTACAGTCCTCCGTAAGGCCTCGTTACGCGATTGGCACTCTCGTTGAGCGTTTCCCTTGCCCTTTTCTTCGAAGCTAGCTCTATCTCGCGGGTCACATCGTGCTGTAGGAGTTTCCCCTTTTTTGGCTTGTTGCTTCTCGTCTCCATTTTGCGGTCGCATTTGTTTTATCATTATTCTTCATTGTTTACCGTCAATTAGTGCTCCATCTCTAGTTCCTACGACTTCCTCCAACGCCTCAGCTGCCTTCGGCCAGGTCTCAAAGGTTCTTTTACCGTTTTCTGTTGGAGCTAATAGAGCGCCATGATATGAAGTGTGTTTGAATGCTCTTAGCGAGTCTTTTGAGTTATTACTTCGCTCTGGCTCACTTCCAACAAAAATTCGGCGGCATACAGTACCGGATTGCCCTTCCACCGTACATTTGATGGTCAGATAGTAACGCTTGCCCTCCGGCCTTAGTCAAGGACAGAAGACAGCTGCAATGTGCTTAAAAACAAGAGCTTTTCAAAAGCAGCTGACATCCTTCCCCTGTCATCCGGGCACCTGGCCGTTAAGCTCATGGCCTGGGTTTTGTGGGGAAGAGGCAGCCTGAAGTGGGGGTGCAGCGCCCCTCGCCGCGGTTGGTAATACAAGCAAACCTCACGCGTTCACACAAGGAAGCTTCAACGAAGCTTCCTTTGCTGCAGGCTTTACCCCTGAATGTATGTATAAAACACTTGCATTTGCTTACACACAACCTACAAAGGCCAAGCGAAGGCTCCTGCGCCATCGCTGCTGCAGGGACTCTGGGGTAGGCCAACACTTTTCTTAAACCTGTTGATTCTGTGTTAAGTGCTGGCTGCCACGTGCTGAGAGGGTACACGATAGGTACCTTAGATATTGTGTACCGAACAGGCTGCGTGTTGTTTTGAATACACGCGAGGTTCTTCTTGACAGTGCAGCAAGATGTTGCAACTCGTGCCGGGCAGTCTTTTTCTCTTGCCCCAGCCCGTTCGGCCGCTGTGCCGGGTCGTGCGCGGATCCGGCGATAACAGTTTTCAGAAGAGAACAATGAGAAACTACCTTTAGGCTGTGTTGGCTTTGTTTTATTTGTTGTGTCAGGTGTGTCGCTTGAGCTGTCTGTAGCTCAGTAATAGCTCCTTGAGGCTGGGGGACAGGGGTTGCTGCCGGCCCGAGATACTCTGCAGTGGCAACCTAAGGAGGCGCCCCGCAGGGGACTATCATCCGAACTGAGTGTCAGTCAGTCTGGGTTTAAGGAAGTAGTATGTTTGTAAAGGTGGTTTTTCCTTGCTAATGAGTTCTAAAACAAGGTATGAACGAGAGGGGGACTGAGGGCTAGCTACTCTCGTGCTTTCATTTGCCGGGAGTTCCTCCCTTTGTCTTAGTCCCTTGCCACTCCATCGTGTGAGGGTGCTCAGGACCTTACCTGAACTCATTATTGGGTACTGCTCGTGTCTGTGTTGTCGCCGGAGGCATTCACTGGTTAGGTTA